CTTTTTTTTTTTTTAAGAGAAAGGAATATTATCAGAAAAATGTACTTCCATAGCTGATCATCTGACACCCTTTAAATGATCAAAATTAAGGGTATTTAAAGCATGCATTAATTGTTGATTTACAGTTAGTTTTATCCTATCAGGGAGTAATTCCCCTTTTCTTTCTTTTTTTTATCATTAATCTACAATTACATGAAGAATATTATGTTTACTAGGCTCTCCCCTATATCAAGTTCCCCCCACAAACCCCTTTAGTCACTGTCCATCAGCATAGCAAAATGTTGTAGTCACTACTTGTCTTCTCTGTGTTATACAGCCCTCCCCTTTCTCTCACCCCCCCATTATGCATGCTAATCATAATACCCTCTTTCTTCTCCCCCACCTTATCCCTCCCTACACACCCATCCTCCCCAGTCCCTTTCCCTTTGGAACCTGTTAGTCCATTCTTGGGTTCTGTGATTCTACTGCTGTTTTGTTCCTTCAGTTTTTGCTTTGTTCTTAAGCTCCACAGATGAGTGAAATCATCTGGTACTTGTCTTTCTCCCCCTGGCTTACTTCACTGAGCATAATACCCTCTAGCTCCATTTATGTTGTTTCAAATGGTAGGATTTGTTTCTTTCTTATGGCTGAATAGTATTCCATTGTGTATGTGTACCACCTCTTCTTTATCCATTCATCTACTGATGGACACTTAGGTTGCTTTCATATCTTGGCTATTGTAAAAAGTGCTGCAATAAACATAGGGGTGCATATGTCTTTTTGAATCTGAGAAGTTGTATTCTTTGGGTAAATTCCAAGGAGTGGGATTCCTGGGTCAAATGGTATTTCTATTTTGAGCATTTTGAGGAACCTCCATATTGCTTTCCACAATGGTTGAACTAGCTTACATTCCATCCAGCAGTGTAGGAGGGTTCCCCTTTCCCCACATCCTCACCAGCATTTGTTGTTCCTAGTATTTTCTACGTTGGCCATCTTAACTGGTGTGAGGTGGTATCTCATTGTGGTTTTAATTTGCATTTCCCTGATAATTAAGGTTGTGGAGCATCTTTTCATGTGCCTGTTGGCCATCTGAATTTTTTCTTTGGAGAAGTGTCTGCTCATATCCTCCGCCCATTTTTTAATAAGGTTATTTGCTTTTTGGGTGTTGAGGCATGTGAGTTCTTTATATATTTTGGATGTTAACCCCTTGTCAGATATGTTGTTTACAAATACATTCTCCTTAGGATGCCTTTTTTTTCTGCTGATGGTGCCCTTTGCTGTACAGAAGCTTTATAGCATGATGTAATCCCATTTGTTCATTTTTGACTTTGTTTCCCTTCCCTGAGGAGATGTGTTCAGGAAAAAGTTGCTCATGTTTATATTCAGAAGATTTTTGCCTACATTGTGTTTTAAGAGTTTTATGGTTTCATGACTTACATTCAGGTCTTTGATCCATTTTGAGTGTACTTTTGTGCATAGGGTTAGACAATAATCCAGTTTCATTCTCTTGCATGTAGCTGTCCAGTTTTGCCAACACCAGCTGTTGAAGAGGCTGTTGTTTCCCCAGTAAAACAGACTCTTAATGCCCTGCTGGGCTCATGGGACATGCATCATCTTAAATGTGTGTTTTAGAAAAAGAAAGTCTGCAACATCCTAAGCAAAGTGTCCAAAGTAATACTTTAGAAAAGAAACCACAGGATAATTCCAAAGAAAACAGAAGGGAGGAGAGAATGAAGTTAGGAGCAGAAATTTAAATAGAAAGAAGGATACAACAGGAATATGAAAGTCAAATGTTAACTCTTGGAAAACATGAAAACATGGATAGAAATTTGGAAAATGTCTCAAGACAGAGCTATACGGCACAAAGAAACAGAAGCAGGAGTAAAAAAGGTATAAAACTATAGATTCTATACACACTAAAAGGGTAAGAGAATGCTACAGGTAATGAAATGGGACATTTCCCAGCAAACTGTAACTTCCCAAAATGATTCAAGAAGAAAAAGTCTGAGTTGCCCTCTTCATCACAGAAATCGATTCAATTATTAACACATCTATATACATATACATAGAACATTTATATATATAACACATTATAAAGAGCAACAGACAATGCAATAACCTGTACATATTCAAAGGGCACAGTCTGACAGGTTTTTAAAAATAAACTTTCAATTTTAGAAGAGTTTTAGATATTTACAGAGAAATTGGGAAAATAGTGTACAGAGGTTCCAAATACCCTGCATCTCATTTCCCTTACTGTTAACATCTTTCATTAGTGTGGTACATTTGTTATCACTAATGAACTACAACTGATACATTATTATTAACTAAAGTACATACTTCATTCAGATTTCCTTAGTTTTCACATAGCATCCTTTCTCTGCTCCAAGATCCCATCGAGGATACCAGGTTCCATTCATCACCGCGTCCTTGGGCGCCTCCTGGCTGACGGCTGCTCGGCCTTCCTTGGCTTTGATGACCCTGACAGGTGTGAGGAGCGCTGCTCAGGGAGTTCACGGGGTCCCTCTCCGGGGATTTGCCAGGTGTTTTCCTCGTGGTTAGCCTGGGGTTGTGGGTTTTAGGGAAGAAGACCACAGAGGTCAAGGGCCACGTCCACCGCATCACTGTTGACGTTGACCTTGACCCCCTGGCTGAGGTGTGCTCTTGGGTTTCTCCAGGGTAAGGTTCTCCTCTCCTTTGCCACAGGTCCTCTTCGGAGGGAAGTCACTGCACAGCCCCCACCTAAGGAGTGGGCAGTTTTGCTCCACCTCCTCAAGGGCGGGGTATCTACAGAAATTATTTGGAATTCTGCACAGGATGTTTATCTCTTCTCTCTCATTTATTTATCAACTTAATAAAATATTTATTTATATCAGAATGGCCTCATGGATACTTATTTTACAATATGGTTGTAATCTAATATTACTTTATTTTGTTCTTCAAATTGTTCCAACTTTGACCATTGGGAACTTCTGAGTCCCTTTGACATATACCCTTTGTTGTAGTTTTTGAGCAATTTGAACAATTTTTGACATATATAAATGCCCATGAAACCACCACCACAATCAAGATAGTGAACGTACTCATGACCCCCAAAAGATTCCTCATGCCCCTGTGTAATCTCTCTCTCCTAGACTCTCCAGCACACATCCCCTAATTTACCGATCTGCTTTCTGTCACTATAGATTAGCTTGCATTATCTACTTTTATATAAATGGGACAAAATAGTATGCACTCTTGACTGCCTGGCTTCTTTCACTCACCATAATTATTTGAGACTCAGCACATTCTGCAAGAGACGAAGGGGCAAAGGGATACTTGGACGGAACCCACTGGGGTGTTCAGGAGGGGCACCTGGTAGGGGAGGAGAAGTGGCAGAGTGAGGCCAGGAAGGGTGAAAAGCTGGCTCTCCCTTGATGGAGGCAGGCGGAGAAAGTGCATAGATGGAAAAGGGCCAGTTGGGTCCCTTGTGCCAGGACAGAGCAGAGGTGCCTGGGGGCACATTGCCGCTGTATCAGAGGCAGCTGTAAACCCAGGCCTGGGGTCAGGATGAGGCTGACCTGAAGCGGGAGGCTGGGCACTCATGACACAGATGGAAACCAGGGGAACGGGGAAGAGGTAGTTGAGAGCCTGTGCACGGGGCCTAGAAGGGCTACGACTGAACCCTGAGAAACATGCTTCTTAAGAGACAGGGCTGCAGAAGAGAAGGAGACAGGGAAGTGTGTCCAAAGAGGAGGAAGGAAAACAAGAGGGGGGGCCCAGAGCCACAGAGGGGCAGGCATGTGGAGAAGCCTGGCCACCAGTGTCAGATACCAAGGGGAAGTCACAGAAGTTATGACCCAGAATGGGGCTATGGGCTGACAGGATCTGGGCTATGCCTGGACAAAGGCTCCTCCTCTCCATTGTGAAAGAACCCTGGGTCTCAGCCACTTGTCCCCAGATGTCCCACAGCAACAGCAAAAAGCAGAGCCATCCCTGGGACTTGGTCAGACTTAGTCCCAGGGCTTCACCCAGCTCAACCACAGCTGCTCCCACAGCTCTCAGGTCTTGTGGGCATTAAGTGGGACTTTGCTCAATGCTGGCCACAGACAGGAGGTCCCTGGCTGGAACAAATTAAGGAAAAGGCAGCGTAGGGATGAAGGGCAGTGAGCACTGGATGGCAAGCCAAGAGGCATGGGCCTGCCCAATCTTGGCCAAAAGGACAAAGGGAGAACTTTGCCAAGTACTTTGATGGATGGGCAGGTCATTGGGTTTCCTTCCCTATATTTGGCAAAGGAGTTGCACCTGCCAGGTGGGCAAAAAACAGGGGTCTGCAGTACAAGGCCTCTCTAGGCTTCAGCCTCTCCCTATTCATTCCCCATTTAATCCCGACATATCTCAACGCAGGCGGTCACTAATCATCGCTCTCATTTTACAGATGGGGAAACAGGTTCAAGGAGGTGAAAAGGGAGCTAATGGATTTCTCTCCATACCCCCTCCACTCCCACCCCCGCAGTGCGGAGCAGGAAATGAGCAGCTAGGTCAGCAAGACACACTAGTCAACGCCCCAGGCCACGCCAGCAAATGCGGCTGGGAGTGACTACTCGGCAGGGCGGGCGCCTAGAGGGCCCCTTCTCCACAGGGACTGAAGGAAGTCGCTAGAGAAAAATCCCCAAAGGGCGAGTGTCCCTGAAGAGGCTTGTTTCCCCATGTGTAAGACAGGGACGGTTGCCCATCGTTTTCCAGCGCTGAGGCTTCCAAGGTCCCACTCGCAGGGGGTCGTCCTGAACCCCAGGACGGCGCCTGCAACTGTAACGGACCCGGGACCGGAGGGCTCGGCGGTTCCCTCCAAGCGCCCATCCCGGCCCGAGTCCCCGTCCCAGGTGGGCATCCCTGAGAAGGGAAAGTTTCCTCAGCGACCCACCTGGGTCACCGGCGTCTCCGAAGCCGTCGTCCTCGCCTTCCGCGCCCGCCTCCACCGGCACGCCCAGGTCCCCGTTGGGGACCGACATTGCGGGCTCGCGCGACGATGGGACAGGGTTACCGGCGCGCTAACAGCCAACTCCCGGCGGATGGTGAAAGCCGCCGACGGAACTCGGAGCCGAGAGCGTGGAACCGCCGGGGTGAACTGCTGGGAGGCGTGGTCCCGCCCCCAGGGCCGGAGCCGTCAGGCCTGAGCTCCGCCCCCGCCCCCGCCCATCTCCCCGCCCCCGGGCAGGGCCACCCTTGGCTGCCCGCAGAGAAGCCTTGGTGGTGGGAGCTGCTACCTTAAGCCTGGGCAAGCTGCCCCAACGCTGCCCTCATCGCGGCCCCATCCTGCCGCTGGGGACCTGCGGGTCGATCTGCGAGTCGGCGCCTCCGCGTGGACGAAATCCGACACGCGTGGTTTCTAAGGCCCCCTGTGTGTATGAGAAATTTTATGGTTCGGGCCACAGAAGAAATGGTGCAGCAGTGCGGGAGGGCAGAAAGAGCCCGAGTCGTGGGTCGGGTCGGGTCCGGCCGTTTCAGAGGCCCTTACGGACCCGATGGCATGACGCTTTCTCCGGCACTCTAAAAGAAGGGTTAAATATCTTTCGATTGGGTACCACAGGAAGAAGTCACTAACAACATCTTACGGGCTTCGCTGGGGCCCAGAAGCCAACCTGCGAGTTCTGCATTCGGCCCCTGGTCACCACCAAGAATCATTCCATCTACATGTTCAGAAGCCAGACATGTAGCTACTCTCAGACATCCCAGGGGTATTTCTGAGACTCTGACGGGTGTGTGGAAGGTGGGTGCCGGGGTGGCACACCCTGTCCCGCGAGGGTTGTCCCTCCCAGGTTGGCGTCAGTGTCATCCCAGGAAACCCTCCTGGTGACGGAGACCCGCCCCTTTAAGGTGAGCCCGCGCCCCGGCCGCCTTCGTTTCACGCGCCCGCCCGCAGCTCTGCGGGAGCGAACATGGCCCAGGCGGCGCGGGCGTTGTGGCCTGGCGGGCGCGCTTCGGCCTGGAGGCTCGGCTGTCGTCCCCCGCCCGGACTCCCAGCGCAGAGCCGCGCCGGCTTCGCGGGGGCGGCGGGAGGCCCGGGTCCCGCCGCCACCGCCCGCAAAGGGAGCCGGCGGGTCCTGGGAGCGGCGGCGCTGGCCCTGGGGGGTGCCTTGGGGCTGTATCACACAGCGCGGTGGCACCTGCGCACCCAGGACCTCCGCGCCGAGTGCTCAGCAGCGCAGGTAAGTCCGGGCCGGACCCGGACGCGGGAAGGAGAGCCGGGGTCCGCGCTGAACTTAAGGACTTCTGGGAACAGCGGGGTCCGGAATTGCCCTCTCCGTTTGCTCCTGACCTTGGGCGAGTGACTTGGTTCCAAGTCTCCGATACTCAGGGCCTTCATCTGTGAAATGGGGGCTCTACGAATGCCTGCTAACTGGAATTGTTTTTGTCTTAAAGTCATTTTCTAACATTTTTTAAGACTCTTTAATAGAAAGATTTGGAGATCACAGAAAAGGGAAAAGGGAAAAGAAAGCCTCTTTCCCAGTTTATCACTTTCCCAACATTTTGTTGCCCTCCCTGCATTGTCTCCAGATCCTAAAGTTGTATATTTATTGGTGTTAGTATTTTAGCAGAACCGAGGACCCTTAGGCTCCAGGACCAGAAACAGGGAAGGACAGGGAGGTGTCCCTATAGTCGGGTAGTGGCCCAGCTACCCTTGTGATGCTTTATACCCCAAACCAGCACAGCCTTTCTCTGCTCCAGGCCCCACCACCCACCCGCAGGGCCCCTTTCCTGGATGCAGGGGAACGGGGGTGGATAGAAAGGGAGTAGAGCCTCTGTGTCGCCTTGCCGACTTCCATGGGCCAGCCTCAGTTTCCCATCTGAATAACCAGGAGAGGTGGATTGCACCTGTGGCTTTCAAACATGTATGCGCAGCAAGCTCACCTGGGGCTTCCCTGCTGAACATATCATCCAGGGCCGTGGCCCAGATGCAACCCACCCCCTTGGAGATTTGAGGTGGACCCCACTCTGCAAACGCTGGGCCCTGCCCACTCCCCCAGAGGTCCCTTGGGTTTGGGGAGTCGGGGGTGGGCACTTCAAGTTGAAATTGATTGCTCTGCTTGTGGGGGGCTGGGTGAGGTGACGTCTGGTATTCACTTGGGACAGGAGGGAGAAGAGAAGTGCCTGTCTAGTGTTGGAGGAGACCAGAAGATTCCTCCTACACTGACTTCCTCCTTGGGATTGGATGGATGCTTGAGGCTGTGCCATCCACTGCATGTGCCTGCACCCCACCCCCCTGTGCCTCCCTTTCTCTCTGCCACCCACCCCATTCTTCCCTTGTTCTCAGGGTCTTCCTAGAAGACTCCCCTGGCAACAGTGTGCTTGTGGGTGGGGCCTGGGCACCAGGCCTCAGAAGCCCCTCTCCCTCTGCTCTCCACCCAGCTCTCCCTGTCCAGCCGCCTGCAGCTGACCCTGTACCAGTATAAAACGTGTCCCTTCTGCAGCAAGGTTCGCGCCTTCCTTGACTTCCATGCACTGCCGTACCAGGTGGTAGAGGTGAACCCCGTGCGGAAGGCTGAGATCAAGTTCTCCTCCTACAGAAAGGTGCCCATCCTGCTGGCCCAGGAAGGAGACAGCTTGGTGAGCTTCAGGGAGCACCCCCCATGTGCTGGGTTGTCCTGGGGTACTCCCAAGTCAGGCCCTGCTCTGCAGCCCTGGGAGGAGCTTGGGCTGTCTGGGCCTTGGCTAAGGATTATGACAATTACAAGCCATCCAGGTCTAAGAGAGGCAGAGCACCACGGAGCTTAACAGTGTGAGTTCTGAAATCAGGGTGGTCTGGGCGCTCTGCCATCACTGACTTTGTAACTGGGGCCAGTCACTTAGCCACTGGGACCTGCTTCTTCATTAATTAACAGAGGACCATACTCTCCAAACACAGAATGTTTGGCATAGTTTGTGGCTCCTAGTAAGCAGTTTCTGGAATCCACTCTGTTCCTCAGTGCCTGAAAGGCCAGGTGGGTGAGTGGGCAGAATTCAGACCCTGGGTCCTCCTCTGACCCTCCTCCCCATTAGCTACACGTGGGTCTCCTTCACGCAAGGTGGGGACTGGCTCCTGGAGGGAGGAGAAGGCTCAGTGGGCATCCGTTTTGGGGCAAGTCCCCAGGGATAGGTAAACAATGCCCGATTCCACCCGCCAGTTTAATGCCTGGGTGCCATGTTGTTGAGCCTGCTGGGGTCAGGCGGCCTCCCTGTCCCCGGCTAACCCAATCTCTCTTCCAGCAACAACTGAATGACTCCTCTGTCATCATCAGTGCCCTCAAGACCTACCTGGTGTCAGGGTAAGAGACCCTCAGACACCCAGGTGGTGTTGCATTTTGCCCCTTCTCTTGTCTCCAGGGAGGCCTCATCTGGCGTCCTACATGGGAGCAGGGTGGGGCTGCTTCTTGGGTTTCCAGAATGGGCCGTGGGTGTCCTACTCTGAGATGCCCCATTCCTCTCTGTACATCTCCCTGTCAGGGAAGTGCTTCTGTTGTTTGCCCCAAGTCTCTCTTGCTGCAGGCCTTCCCCGAGAACCCATAAAAAGGTAGAAAGCTTTTGTGAGTTGGTCTTGGCTCCACCCCGAGTGGGTCAGGCTGAGGTAGATAGATAGTCACCCTGAGAGGTGGGGGCTCAGCCTTCATGAGGAAGGAGTAGGGGTGAGACCCTGGGTGTCTCCCGAAGGCAGCCCCTGGAAGACATCGTCACTTACTATCCACCCATGAAGGCCGTCAACGACCAGGGCAAGGAGGTGACGGAATTCTGCAACAAGTACTGGCTCATGCTGGATGAGAAGGAGGCCCAGCGACTGTATGGTGGGAAGGAGGCGAGGACGTAAGTGCGGCTGGGCCGGCCCGGGAGTTGGGGCAGGGGATGAGGTGGCGAGGGCAGGGGCAAGATGCTGTGAGTGGGCAGCAGTGGGAGACACGAGGGCTGGGGATGTGCCACGGTCAGGACCTCCTGCTCAAGCCTCAGCTTCCCGTCCACATACTGGGCGTCTAGGTAGGGCATCTGCTCCTCCCAGGCCCTGGCTTAGGAAGCGAGGCTTAGGCCTGTGTTAGGAAGCCCTCCCGGTCCTCCCTCTGTCCCCCTACTTGCCTGCAGGGAGGAGATGAAGTGGCGGCAATGGGCAGACGACTGGCTGGTGCACCTGATCTCCCCCAACGTGTACCGCACACCTGCTGAGGCTCTGGCCTCCTTCAACTACATCGTCAAGGAGGGCAAATTTGGGCCTGTGGAGGGCGCCGTGGCCAAGTACATGGGCGCAGCTGCTATGTACTTGATCAGCAAGCGGCTCAAGAGCAGGTGACAGTGGGCATGTATGTGCATGCCTGAGGGCCTGCTGTCCCTGAGCACCCAGCATTAGCTAAATCAGGACTCGAATGCAGAACCGATTGCCTCCCTTACGCCAGGGAAGCAGGGCTGGCCTCGGAGTCCAGAGCTAGGTCCTGGCCTTGTGCCTTCTGATGTTTCTCTCTTCATGGGTGGGCTTCTTGTCCTTCCTGGGCCAAGGCCTCCCCATGTGGGGCAGATAACTGAGCTCTCTGCAGGTGTATCTCCCAACCCCTAGGGAGCAGCCCTGGGCCCCAGGCCTAACCCGTGTCCCCACCAGGGCAGGGGTCACAGTTACCCTGATGGACCTCCCCTTCCCTGCCCAGGCACCACCTCCAGGATGACGTGCGTAAGGACCTCTATGAGGCTGCCGACAAGTGGGTGGCAGCTGTGGGCAAAGACCGGCCTTTCATGGGGGGCCAGAAGCCAAACCTGGCTGATCTGGTGAGTGTGGTGGTAGCTGGGGCTGTCCAGACTGCGGGGCCTGTCCTTGCAGATGGGGAGGCCCAGCTGGGGAAAGCCTGGCTGTAGGCAATCCCTAATCTCATAGCTCTGCCACCCCAGAGGCACCTGGTTCCATTTCTTGTTAGGGGCTTAGGAAAAACCAGCTACAAGAACTGTCCTGGTTCACATGGGAGGGCATTTTCCCAAAGCGGCTGCCGAGGAAGGGCTGGCTGCAGGCCCACCGGGACCCAGGGGCCCAAGTGGTTACCAAGCTCCGGCTCTTCTGTGGCATCTCGGCTTCTTGAGTGGGCTTCAGCCTGAGCAGGTCTGGGCCTGGTGTGCCAGCCTCCGCCCAGCCAAAGTCCTGGGGTAGTGTCTT